GGTTAAGTACAGCAGGACTATAACTGCCCTGGCTGGGTTAAGTACAGCAGGACTATAACTGCCCTGGCTGGGTTAAGTACAGCAGGACTATAACTGCCCTGGCTGGGTTAAGTACAGCAGGACTATAACTGCCCTGGCTGGGTTAAGTACAGCAGGACTATAACTGCCTGCTGCCCTGGCTGGGTTAAGTACAGCAGGACTATAACTGCCCTGGCTGGGTTAAGTACAGCAGGACTATAACTGCCCTGGCTGGGTTAAGTACAGCAGGACTATAACTGCCCTGGCTGGGTTAAGTACAGCAGGACTATAACTGCCCTGGCTGGGTTAAGTACAGCAGGACTATAACTGCCCTGGCTGGGTTAAGTACAGCAGGACTATAACTGCCCTGGCTGGGTTAAGTACAGCAGGACTATAACTGCCCTGGCTGGGTTAAGTACAGCAGGACTATAACTGCCCTGGCTGGGTTAAGTACAGCAGGACTATAACTGCCCTGGCTGGGTTAAGTACAGCAGGACTATAACTGCCCTGGCTGGGTTAAGTACAGCAGGACTATAACTGCCCTGGCTGGGTTAAGTACAGCAGGACTATAACTGCCCTGGCTGGGTTAAGTACAGCAGGACTATAACTGCCCTGGCTGGGTTAAGTACAGCAGGACTATAACTGCCCTGGCTGGGTTAAGTACAGCAGGACTATAACTGCCCTGGCTGGGTTAAGTACAGCAGGGACTATAACTGCCCTGGCTGGGTTAAGTACAGCAGGACTATAACTGCCCTGGCTGGGTTAAGTACAGCAGGACTATAACTGCCCTGGCTGGGTTAAGTACAGCAGGACTATAACTGCCCTGGCTGGGTTGAGTACAGCAGGACTATAACTGCCCTGGCTGGGTTGAGTACAGCAGGACTATAACTGCCCTTGCTGGGTTGAGTACAGCAGCAGGACTATAACTGCCCTGGCTGGGTTAAGTACAGCAGGACTATAACTGCCCTGGCTGGGTTGAGTACAGCAGGACTATAACTGCCCTGGCTGGGTTAAGTACAGCAGGACTATAACTGCCCTGGCTGGGTTAAGTACAGCAGGACTATAACTGCCCTGGCTGGGTTAAGTACAGCAGGACTATAACTGCCCTGGCTGGGTTGAGTACAGCAGGACTATAACTGCCCTGGCTGGGTTAAGTACAGCAGGACTATAACTGCCCTGGCTGGGTTAAGTACAGCAGGACTATAACTGCCCTGGCTGGGTTAAGTACAGCAGGACCATAACTGCCCTGGCTGGGTTAAGTACAGCAGGACTATAACTGCCCTGGCTGGGTTGAGTACAGCGGGACTATAACTGCCCTTGCTGGGTTAAGTACAGCAGGACTATAACTGCCCTGGCTGGGTTAAGTACAGCAGGACTATAACTGCCCTGGCTGGGTTAAGTACAGCAGGACTATAACTGCCCTGGCTGGGTTAAGTACAGCAGGACTATAACTGCCCTGGCTGGGTTAAGTACAGCAGGACTATAACTGCCCTGGCTGGGTTAAGTACAGCAGGACTATAACTGCCCTGGCTGGGTTGAGTACAGCAGGACTATAACTGCCCTGGCTGGGTTGAGTACAGCAGGACTATAACTGCCCTGGCTGGGTTAAGTACAGCAGGACTATAACTGCCCTGGCTGGGTTAAGTACAGCAGGACTATAACTGCCCTGGCTGGGTTAAGTACAGCAGGACTATAACTGCCCTGGCTGGGTTGAGTACAGCAGGACTATAACTGCCCTGGCTGGGTTAAGTACAGCAGGACTATAACTGCCCTGGCTGGGTTAAGTACAGCAGGACCATAACTGCCCTGGCTGGGTTAAGTACAGCAGGACTATAACTGCCCTGGCTGGGTTGAGTACAGCGGGACTATAACTGCCCTTGCTGGGTTAAGTACAGCAGGGCTATAACTGCCCTGGCTGGGTTAAGTACAGCAGGACTATAACTGCCCTGGCTGGGTTAAGTACAGCAGGACTATAACTGCCCTGGCTGGGTTGAGTACAGCAGGACTATAACTGCCCTGGCTGGGTTGAGTACAGCAGGATTATAACTGCCCTTGCTGGGTTGAGTACAGCAGGACTATAACTGCCCTGGCTGGGTTAAGTACAGCAGGACTATAACTGCCCTGGCTGGGTTAAGTACAGCAGGACTATAACTGCCCTGGCTGGGTTAAGTACAGCAGGACTATAACTGCCCTGGCTGGGTTAAGTACAGCAGGACTATAACTGCCCTGGCTGGGTTAAGTACAGCAGGACTATAACTGCCCTGGCTGGGTTAAGTACAGCAGGACTATAACTGCCCTGGCTGGGTTAAGTACAGCAGGACTATAACTGCCCTGGCTGGGTTAAGTACAGCAGGACTATAACTGCCCTGGCTGGGTTAAGTACAGCAGGACTATAACTGCCCTGGCTGGGTTAAGTACAGCAGGACTATAACTGCCCTGGCTGGGTTAAGTACAGCAGGACTATAACTGCCCTGGCTGGGTTAAGTACAGCAGGACTATAACTGCCCTGGCTGGGTTAAGTACAGCAGGACTATAACTGCCCTGGCTGGGTTAAGTACAGCAGGACTATAACTGCCCTGGCTGGGTTAAGTACAGCAGGACTATAACTGCCCTGGCTGGGTTGAGTACAGCAGGACTATAACTGCCCTGGCTGGGTTGAGTACAGCAGGACTATAACTGCCCTGGCTGGGTTGAGTACAGCAGGACTATAACTGCCCTGGCTGGGTTGAGTACAGCAGGACTATAACTGCCCTTGCTGGGTTGAGTACAGCAGGACTATAACTGCCCTGGCTGGGTTAAGTACAGCAGGACTATAACTGCCCTGGCTGGGTTAAGTACAGCAGGACTATAACTGCCCTTGCTGGGTTGAGTACAGCAGGACTATAACTGCCCTTGCTGGGTTAAGTACAGCAGGACTATAACTGCCCTGGCTGGGTTGAGTACAGCAGGACTATAACTGCCCTTGCTGGGTTGAGTACAGCAGGACTATAACTGCCCTGGCTGGGTTAAGTACAGCAGGACTATAACTGCCCTGGCTGGGTTAAGTACAGCAGGACTATAACTGCCCTGGCTGGGTTAAGTACAGCAGGACTATAACTGCCCTGGCTGGGTTGAGTACAGCAGGACTATAACTGCCCTGGCTGGGTTAAGTACAGCAGGACTATAACTGCCCTGGCTGGGTTAAGTACAGCAGGACTATAACTGCCCTGGCTGGGTTGAGTACAGCAGGACTATAACTGCCCTGGCTGGGTTGAGTACAGCAGGGGCCGAAACAAAAGAAGGTTTTTTAACACGACTTTAATGTGATATGAGTTATTTTCCGGTTGATTTTTCTGACGACAAAATGTGTTTATTGTTTAGATTGAACCAAAACTGCATAAAATATAAAGTTAAACACATTTTAGATTGAAATGTTTAAATTCTAATGATGTGTTTTTGGGTTAAAATGTTAAATTTGGTTGTTTTACTGATACATTATATGGTTTATAATCTTCCTCGGTCGATGCTAACTCGCTAGCTCAGTGAAGCCTATTAGCAAAGTGCTCATGGACAAAGTTTTGCTCCACCTAAAGTTCTCGGACTCAGTGTCAATTTGTGACAAAACAACAAAAAGTCTGTATAGAAAATGTGGTTTAGCGCTTTCTGAGATCCTTCTCTCTCTGCTCTCTCTCTTTCTGATCTCCCCCTCTCTGGTCTCTCTTTCTCTGATTTCTCTTTCTCTGGTCTCCCTCTCTGGTCTCTCTCTCTCTGGTACCGGAGGTGGATTCCTCAGGTCTCTCTCTCTCTCTGGTCTCTCTCTCTGGTCTCTCTCTCTCTCTGGTCTCTCTCCATCTCTCTGGTCTCTCTCTCTGGTCTCTCTCTGGTCTCTCTCTCTGGCCTCTCTCTATCTCTCTGGTCTCTCTCTGGTCTCTCTCTCTGGTCTCTCTCTCTGGTCTATCTCTCCGGTCTCTCTCTCTGGTCTCTCTCTATCTCTCTGGTCTCTCTCTGGTCTCTCTCTCTGGTCTCTCTCTCTGGTCTCTCTCTCTGGTCTATCTCTCCGGTCTCTCTCTCTGGTCTCTCTCTCTGGTCTCTCTCTCTCTGGTCTCTCTCTCTGGTCTCTCTCTGGTCTCTCTCTGGTCTCTCTCTGGTCTCTCTCTGGTCTCTCTCTGGTCTCTCTCTGGTCTCTCTCTGGTCTCTCTCTCTGGTCTCTCTCTCTGGTCTCTCTCTGGTCTCTCTCTGGTCTCTCTCTGGTCTCTCTCTCTGGTCTCTCTCTCTGGTCTCTCTCTCTGGTCTCTCTCTCTCTGGTCTCTCTCTCTGGTACAGCAGGTGGATTCCTCAGGCCTCCCTCTCTGTGGATGACATTTCTAAGATTGCACTTTTGCATTTCTGTGTTATGAAGAATCTCTCTCTGCTCCTCGCATTTGTTTCGGTCTCGTTCTGGTGTCGGTCTCGTTCTGGCTTCGGGCGATGAACTGATCATTTGTGCAGCGTCTTGTTCTCATTTCGTTGTCTGTGTTGCCTCCGGACGTTTCCTTTATTCCACAGACTCCGATGGTTTCTCTTTGGCCTTTTGTCCAATCCCTGTTCTCTTTATGTCGTTTTGTCTATTTCTGTAATCTCTCAGCAAAGAGAGACCAGAGAGAGACCAGAGAGAGACCAGAGAGAGACCAGAGAGAGACCAGAGAGAGACCAGAGAGAGACCAGAGAGCTCCGGTCGATGACGTCACGCGTGCAGACATGCGCACACATCCACCACATGCACACACAGGCAAGACGGCGGTGAGTTCAAACTAGCTCGCAGTAGTTAACAAAGTAAAAATCCAAACAAACTAAAATGGTTGATTCTTGTTGTGCACCGGGATGCACAAATCGGCGAGGGGCAAAAAAGGGCAAAGCCTTTTACCGGATTCCCCATGATCCAGCCAGACGGGATAGGTGGATTTCTGCTATCAAACGAGCCCATAGCAACGTGAAGAAATCCGAGCGCTGGATCCCTTCAAAACATGGATGTCGTCTATGCTCAGACCATTTCATCTCAGGTAACGTGACGAAATGCATTAAATCAGTCTTGAGAGTGTAGGCACTGGTGAAATTTGTTGACCATGGTCTTAAATTAAATTAATATTACTTTATTTACTGAATCTCAACAGAAAATGAATGAAGCTCTGTTAATTCTATTCTAATAATTAGCATGTGAAAGTCATTTGAGACTACTTTATTTGGAGATTTCTCAGTACATCTAATAAACATTTGCTTTATGAGCAGTGATGAAAATGGTTTATCTTTGGTAATTATAATTATTTTATTCCCAGGTAAAAGAAGTGATGATCCCCTTTCTCCGGACTACGTCCCTTCTGTCTTCAATCATGTCCCGTCGCCAATGAAGAGAAGAGGACAGCAGCAACTGGATAATTTCAATAGAAGGCAAGCTGCTAAAAGAAGAAGACTGGAACAACAGTCAACTAAACCAGATGACATGGCAGCTCTAGAACAAGACTCATCTCAAGCTGAGGCAACTCCACTCTTCACTGATGCAGGGATAGGCCACATAGACCACACCTACTATTCATTGGATGCAGATCACTGCGATGGTGATGATGATAATATTGATGAAAGTAGAAATGAAAACAATTCTCTGGAGTTGGAGGTGAATGCTTTACGGGCGGAGAATATGTTTCTCAAAGAGAAGATCTCTAAAATGGAACTGAACGAATCATCTCTAAAAGACAATGACAAAAAGGTCCTCATGCCTACGGGAGTGCAAACCTTTTCCATAATCTTTTAGCCAGTGCCCAATGTTACTCTACATACAAATCGCATCACACAATGAAATATTTAATTGGAATAAGCCCACAAGGATGTATTATTTTCATTTCTAATGGTGGGGAGGTAGAACAAGTGACAAGTTTATCACTGAAAACAGTACTTTTTTGTCACATCTGCTTCCAGGGGACCTTGTTTTAGCAGATAGAGGGTTCAATGTTAAAGACTCTATTCAGGCTTTTGAAGCTGATTTAAAAGTTCCAGCATTTACTCGGGGAAAAAAACAGTTAGACCCAGTTGTTCTAGAGGACACTAGAGCCCTTGCATCCCTCAGAATACATATTGAAAGGGTAATGGGAATGGTTCGCCAGAAATACACCATTTTACAAAGTATTGTGCCTATAACATTCATGAATATTGACAGTGACAGTGATAACATAATGTACCCGGATAAAGTTGTTAAAATATGTTGTGCTCTCACTAATTTATGTCAATCAGTTGTATCCAGTGAGTGATCCAAATCAAATGTAATAAATGATACAAGTTGCTTTAACTTTTATGTTGTGATTTTATTTTTCTACAGGTGGGACATATCCATTTTTTTGGTACTCTTTTGATTCCAAGGTAACTTTGGTATTTCTTCAGAGCAAAATCCAGAAACTCAAATCAACATGCTGTTTGTTTCTTCTTCTCTGCAATAACAGCACTCCTGTCCCTTATCAGTCACTGGTGCTTTAGGAGCAGAGAAATGCTTGGCTAACAGCTCTAAAAGAACACATCTTTGGAAGAAATCTCTGGCTATTTTGAGTTCTCTCTCCAGAAAAGCCTCATCTGGAAACACCCGCTCAACAAAAGGCGCAGTGCACTCTTTTTCAGTCCAAAGAACAATATCACAGTAGCTTTTTCCAGTGACGAATAGCTGCATCTGAACTTGATAAAAGTATGAATGATCTGTCTTTAATCTTAAATTCCCATTAAGACCATTTTCAAGGCAGAATCCGGCAATGGTTTTAACAGCCTCAGACACTGTAAGATCCTTGGCACGGAATGGGCACTTAATTTCAACTACACCTGAACCACAGCAGCTGCATGAAATGTAACAGTCTGGTGAGGCTCCAACATAGGGGTGCCCTGTGGAAATGGTGAAGCCAGAATCATCAACCTGAACGTCTGAGTGTTTAAGACAAAGTTGTGTTTGGTAACTCCTCTTGGCTTCCTTTTCATTCTCACAGCCATATCTGAACATAAGAGAATACTTATTATCTGGTAACATAATGTATATACTAATTAGACCTACCTTGTTGCCTCAGTTGAAAACATATATGATTGTGGATAACAGATCTTTTTAATGAGTGACACTGATGGTTTTTGCATGTCTGATCTTACGGCTGCTTTGAAATTTGAAGCAGTAATCCTACCACTTCTCTGCTCAAACCACATTTTAGATTTAGCGTGACCTCTGGTTTCCACCTCAACAATCTCACTCGGCAAGCAAAACATTGATTACTAACACATTGATCACAGACTTCAAACTGAACACCACACTTGCAACTGTTTCTAACATACATCACCTGTTCTTTAGTTACTGATAGCTGATGAAATACAGTGTCAGCTCTTTTCTGCAACTCCTCTACACCGGCATCTCTGACTTCTTTGTCATAAAGAGAGGTGAGGGGTACAGGTAGATTTAAAACAACATACATAAGATGCAGCGTGCTCCCTAACAAGAGACAGAACCACTGGCTTTATTTTTCGCCCCTCTTTTGAACAATTGGCGATGTTGTTGTAGAGCTGGCTTTGTTCACTAGGTGTCAGCAGTGGACACGCACTGGTTGCAGAAGTCGTCGACTCAGACAAACTCTGTTTTTTCAACTTTTGGGATTTGTTGAACACAATATCCTTTCCCTGTAGGTACTCCACCTTTTTCATAGCAGTCTCACTCGGTCTGTCCCATCTGCATTTTTTTGATGTTACGGAGGATTCTTTCTTTCCCCTTTCTTGATTGTGCTGCCACAAGGTAAACAACACAGCCGCTACATGGGAACAACACTCTCCAAGTCCCGCTGTACAATTACAGTGGGCTCCTAGCACTGCACCGTCACATCTGACAACTGCCCATGGCTTCAGTGAAGGGCTGTTGAGCCTTTGTGAATGATTTACCTGTGACAACATTAACAGTAGCTGTTAAAGCATTTGACTTTTATATTAGCTTAGCGCAGAAACGGGTGTTTAGCATGCAAGCGATGACAGATCGCACTGTGTGTACTTACTCTTCCAGTCACCACAAAACAGCTTTTTGTTGGCAAATGCCAAAGCTGGACATTGGACACAAACCCGGATTGTGTCCATTTATATCCGTCCAGACTTTTGTAAGCCTTCAGCGAATCCCCCGTGTAAAAGGATGGGAAATCAATTAAGTAATTGTAAATATCTGGGCATTGCAGATTTGGTGGACTCACAACACAATCTAGGCCTTTAAAAAACAAGCCAGGAGCAAAGTAAGGGTCGCTAATGTTCAACCGGTTGAGTTTGGCAAAATACCGTGCCTTATCAATGTCATTAAATGACGCTGTAAACTCCGAACGAAACAATTTTCCACCGCTGTCGTTCATTGTTTTTAGCTTGGCGCCGCTGTTTGTTCCTGCCGTCATGGCGTCACTAACACCTTACTCAAGGGTTAGAGTTAAGATACACTACATTAGCTGTTCATTATTGAGGGCTAAGTGGGTTTCCAATCACAACACACCATGTGATCAGTACCATGTGATCAGTACCATGTGATCAGTACCATGTGATCAGTACCATGTGATCAGTTGGTCCTGGTCTTTCACCACTTATACAAATGTGGAGTTTCCTGTTTCTGCTCAAACTGCGACGTTTTAGATTCAGACACAGAGAGAATCTGTTGTTACTGTCAATGTTAATGATACATCCTGTTTACAGCAGCAGCAGCAGGAGGAGGAGAAGGAGCAGCAGGAGCAGCAGGAGGAGGAGCAGCAGGAGCAGCAGGAGGAGGAGGAGCAGCAGGAGCAGCAGCAGCAGCAGCAGCAGGAGGAGGAGGAGCAGCAGGAGAAGCAGCAGCAGGAGGAGCAGCAGGAGAAGCAGCAGCAGGAGGAGCAGCAGGAGCAGCAGCAGCAGCAGCAGCAGCAGCAGCAGGAGGAGGAGGAGCAGTAGACTTATTTGATTTTCTTTATAAAACACTGAGGTTGGTATGGACCAACTGGGACTGAGGCGCACAGGGACTGGCCTCCTGCTGGGACTCTGAGGAGCACAGGGACTGGACTCCTGCTGGGACTCTGAGGAGCACAGGGACTGGACTCCTGCTGGGACTCTGAGGAGCACAGGGACTGGCCTCCTGCTGGGACTCTGAGAAGCACAGGGACTGGCCTCCTGCTGGGACTCTGAGGAGCACAGGGACTGGACTCCTGCTGGGACTCTGAGGAGCACAGGGACTGGACTCCTGCTGGGACTCTGAGGAGCACAGGGACTGGCCTCCTGCTGGGACTCCGGTCTCTCTCGCATGTCAGATTCCGTCAGCTAAAATCTGAAACAGTCTTCCTGAGAATGTGAGACAGGCTCTGATTGGCTCCTATCGTGTGTGTCTGCTCTGTGTGATTGTATCTTTAATGTGTGTGTATATTGTACAGTTATTTTTGTCTGTTGTGATGTGTGTTGTCTGTTGTGGTGTGTGTTGCCTGTTGTGATGTGTGTTGTCTGTTGTGATGTGTGTTGCCTGTTGTGTTGTCTGTTGTGATGTGTGTTGTCTGTTGTGATGTGTGTTGTCTGTTGTGATGTGTGTTGTCTGTTGTGTTGTGTGTTGTCTGTTATGGTGTGTGTTGCCTGTTGTGATGTGTGTTGTCTGTTGTGATGTGTGGTGTGTGTTGTGATGTGTGTTGTCTGTTGTGTTGTGTGTTGTCTGTTGTGTTGTGTGTTGTCTGTTATGGTGTGTGTTGCCTGTTGTGATGTGTGTTGTCTGTTGTGATGTGTGGCGTGTGTTGTCTGTTGTGATGTGTGTTGTCTGTTATGGTGTGTGTTGCCTGTTGTGATGTGTGTTGTGTGGTGTGTGTTGTGATGTGTGTTGTCTGTTGTGGCGTGTGTTGTCTGTTGTGATGTGTGTTGTCTGTTATGGTGTGTGTTGCCTGTTGTGATGTGTGTTGTCTGTTTTGATGTGTGTTGTGTGTTGTCTGTTGTGATGTGTGTTGTCTGTTGTAATGTGTGTTGTCTGTTGTGATGTGTGTTTTCTGTTTTGATGTGTGTTGCCTGTTGTGATGTGTGTTTTCTGTTTTGATGTGTGTTGTCTGTTGTGTTGTGTGTTGTCTGTTGTGATGTGTGTTGTCTGTTGTGTTGTGTGTTTTTTGTTGTGATGTGTGTTGCCTGTTGTGTTGTGTGTTGTCTGTTGTGATGTGTGTTGTCTGTTGTGATGTATGTTTCCTGTTGTGGTGTGTGTTGTCTGTTGTGATGTGTGTTGTCTGTTGTGGTGTGTGTTGTCTGTTGTGATTTGTGTTGTCTGTTGTGTGTTGTGTTGTCTGGTGTGTTGTGTGTTGTCTGTTGTGTTGTGTGTTGTGATGTGTGTTGTCTGTTGTGATGTGTGTGTGTTGTCTGTTGTGATGTGTGTTGTCTGTTGTGATGTGTGTTGCCTGTTGTGGTGTGTGTTGTCTGTTGTGATGTGTGTTGTCTGTTGTGGTGTGTGTTGCCTGTTGTGATGTGTGTTGTCTGTTGTGGTGTGTGTTGCCTGTTGTGATGTGTGTTGTCTGTTGTGGTGTGTGTTGCCTGTTGTGATGTGTGTTGTCTGTTGTGATGTGTGGCGTGTGTTGTCTGTTGTGATGTGTGTTGTCTGTTATGGTGTGTGTTGCCTGTTGTGATGTGTGTTGTCTGTTTTGATGTGTGTTGTGTGTTGTCTGTTGTGATGTGTGTTGTCTGTTGTAATGTGTGTTGTCTGTTGTGATGTGTGTTTTCTGTTTTGATGTGTGTTGCCTGTTGTGATGTGTGTTTTCTGTTTTGATGTGTGTTGTCTGTTGTGTTGTGTGTTGTCTGTTGTGATGTGTGTTGTCTGTTGTGTTGTGTGTTTTCTGTTGTGATGTGTGTTGCCTGTTGTGTTGTGTGTTGTCTGTTGTGATGTGTGTTGTCTGTTGTGATGTATGTTTCCTGTTGTGGTGTGTGTTGTCTGTTGTGATGTGTGTTGTCTGTTGTGGTGTGTGTTGTCTGTTGTGATTTGTGTTGTCTGTTGTGTGTTGTGTTGTCTGGTGTGTTGTGTGTTGTCTGTTGTGTTGTGTGTTGTGATGTGTGTTGTCTGTTGTGATGTGTGTGTGTTGTCTGTTGTGATGTGTGTTGTCTGTTGTGATGTGTGTTGCCTGTTGTGGTGTGTGTTGTCTGTTGTGATGTGTGTTGTCTGTTGTGATGTGTGTTGTCTGTTGTGATGTGTGTTGTCTGTTGTGATGTGTGTTGTCTGTTGTGATGTGTATTGTCTGTTGTGGTGTGTGTTGTCTGTTGTGATGTGTGTTGTCTGTTGTGATGTGTGTTGTCTGTTGTGATGTGTGTTGTCTGTTGTGGTGTGTGTTGCCTGTAGTGATGTGTGTTGTCTGTTGTGATGTGTGTTGTCTGTTGTGATGTGTGTTGTCTGTTGTGGTGTGTGTTGTCTGTTGTGGTGTGTGTTGCCTGTTGTGATGTGTGTTGTCTGTTGTGGTGTGTGTTGCCTGTTGTGATGTGTGTTGTCTGTTGTGGTGTGTGTTGCCTGTTGTGATGTGTGTTGTCTGTTGTGATGTGTGTTGTCTGTTGTGATGTGTGTTGTGTGTTGTGATGTGTGTTGTCTGTTGTGGTGTGTGTTGACTGTTGTGATGTGTGTTGTGTGTTGTGATGTGTGTTGTCTGTTGTGATGTGTGTTGTCTGTTGTGATGTGTGTTTTCTGTTTTGATGTGTGTTGTCTGTTGTGTTGTGTGTTGTCTGTTGTGATGTGTGTGTGTGGTGTGTGTTGTCTGTTGTGGTGTGTGTTGCCTGTTGTGATGTGTGTTGTCTGTTGTGATGTGTGTGTGTTGTCTGTTGTGATGTGTGTTGTCTGTTGTGATGTGTGTTGCCTGTTGTGGTGTGTGTTGTCTGTTGTGATGTGTGTTGTATGTTGTGTTGTGTGTTGTCTGTTGTGGTGTGTGTTGTCTGTTGTGATGTGTGTTGCCTGTTGTGATGTGTGTTGCCTGTTGTGGTGTGTGTTGTCTGTTGTGATGTGTGTTGCCTGTTGTGATGTGTGTTGCCTGTTGTGGTGTGTGTTGTCTGTTGTGATGTGTGTTGCCTGTTGTGATGTGTGTTGCCTGTTGTGGTGTGTGTTGTCTGTTGTGATGTGTGTTGCCTGTTGTGATGTGTGTTGCCTGTTGTGGTGTGTGTTGTCTGTTGTGATGTGTGTTGCCTGTTGTGATGTGCGTTGTCTGTTGTTTTGTGTGTTGTCTGTTGTGATGTGTGTCTGTTGTGACGTGTGTTGTCTGTTGTGATGTGTGTCTGTTGTGATGTGTGTTGTCTGTTGTGACGTGTGTTGTCTGTTGTTTTGTGTGTTGTCTGTTGTGATGTGTGTCTATTGAGATGTGTGTTGTCTGTTGTGATGTGTGTTGTCTGTTGTGTTGTGTGTTGTCTGTTGTGATGTGTGTTGTCTGTTGTGATGTGTGTTGCCTGTTGTGATGTGTGTTGCCTGTTGTGATGTGTGTTGCCTGTTGTGATGTGTGTTGTCTGTTGTGATGTGTGTTGTATGTTGTGTTGTGTGTTGTCTGTTGTGATGTGTGTTGTCTGTTGTGATGTGTGTTGCCTGTTGTGATGTGTGTTGCCTGTTGTGGTGTGTGTTGTCTGTTGTGATGTGTGTTGTCTGTTGTGATGTGCGTTGTCTGTTGTTTTGTGTGTTGTCTGTTGTGATGTGTGTCTGTTGTGACGTGTGTTGTCTGTTGTGACGTGTGTTGTCTGTTGTGGTGTGTGTTGTCTGTTGTCACGTGTGTTGTCTGTTGTGTTGTGTGTTGTCTGTTGTGATGTGTGTTGTCTGTTGTGGTGTTTTGTGTTGCCTTGTGTAGGAAATGACAGTTTCATGTTTGTTCCAGACCAGGGTCAGTTTTCCTCTGCTCTGAAAACTGTCAACGGATGTTCTGTACTTTGGCTCCCTCTGGTGGCCACAACACACATCTGCAGTGTACTACAGTATACATGTACTACAGTGTACATATACTACAGTGTACATGTACTACAGTATACATATACTATTGTGTACATATACTACAGTGTACATGTACTACAGTATACATATACTATTGTGTACAAATACTACAGTGTACATGTACTACAGTATACATATATCAATCAATCAATCAACGTTTATTTGTAGAGCGCCTTTCCTACACAAGGCAACGCAAAGCGCTTCACATCCCCTATCACATCATGCATAAATCAAACACATTAAGAGCACAAGATATATTAAAAACATTAAAAATAAAATCACAAAAATTAAAAACCTTTAAACATTAAAATCACAGATGGGACTAAAATCATAAATAGTCACAGTGCATTAAAAAGATTAAAGATAAAAACAAAGATGAAAAGATAAAATCATTCAGTTGTATATGCGCAGCTAAACAGAATTGTTTTGAGCCTAGATTTAAAAGATGCCAGAGTAGACGCCTGTCTCACATTCTCAGGAAGACTGTTCCAGACTCTAGCCGCATGAATCTGAAATGCAGTTTGCCCATGTCTAGTACCGACTCTGGGCACTAACAGTGTACATATACTACAGTGTACATGTACTACAGTATACATATACTACAGTGTACATATACTACAGTGTACATATACTACAGTATACATGTACTACAGTATACATGTACTAAAGTATACATATACTACAGCAACATGTACTACAGTATACATGTACTAAAGTATACATATACTACAGTAAAGATGTGCTACAGTAACATGTACTACAGTGTACATATACTACAGTAACATGTACTACAGTATACATATACTACAGTGTACATATACTACAGTAACATGTACTACAGTATACATATACTACAGTGTACATATACTACAGTGTACATATACTAAAGTAACATGTACTACAGTATACATATACTACAGTATACATATACTACAGTGTACATATACTAAAGTAACATGTACTACAGTATACATATACTACAGTATACATATAC